TGAGCTGGACCAACCATTAAATACCCACTTTGGAGCGGGCGCACATTTCAAGGAGCGGCCGCGCCATCATTTAACGCGCGGGCGCGCCTTTGTTGGGCGCGGGCGCGCCTGTCTGCTGCGGATTCAAATCCCGAATTCAGTCCAATCAACAAAAGGGAGGAAAAACGGGTAACATTCGACAACATTCTATCATTAGGATACTTTAGCATAGAAACCTTGGAGGAGAGCTTTTGAGGAATTTTTCTAGGTTATTGTTTTAGCCACTTTTGTATTGAAGAATCTTGATAGTTTTTAGTGTAATTTCATTGCCCATTAACATTTGTTTTACTCTTAGTTTTTGAAGAAGTATTTTGCAACATTGATGTATGGTCAAGCTTGGAGCTTAGATGATGTATGGGTCTTTACTTGGATTTCAATGAAGGTTTTGGTATATTTCTCTATTTTCTCTTGTTTTTATGATTAAAGTTTCTACCTTTGTTAGTTTAGTTGATAAAACCCTTGTCTTTCTTACTATTTCATTGGTTATAATGTTGCTTAGTATGATTGTAGTTGTAGTTATGGATAGTGAGTAGTTTCTTGTTGCTAGGGGTTTGGTGAAGGTATGCTTCGAGTTTGATGTATGTTAGGCTAGGTTAATTTGGAATATTTGTGATTAAATCTTCCTTGTGCTTATACTTATTGGCCACTCCATGTTTATGGCCATATGCATGTTGTGGTTAAGTGACTTGAACTAAATCATGACGATAGTGTGATTTAAGAATAGTCATTAGGTGATTGATTATTGCATGTCCTTAGTTTGTATGCCTTATGACGATAGTATAAGTGTATGCTAGCTAGGATAGCTCTTAATCCCGATAGGTGATTAGAGAGTATTCTTGATATTGCCTTGTATGAGTTGCTTGGGTTACATGTAAACCTATTTTTCGATGCCTAACTTCGTTGAATTTCATAGCATGTTTGATCCTTCCCCCTAATGCTTGTTTTAATTGTTATTTTATCCCCTTTAGTCATTACTTTACCCACCATACTTCTTGATCGAACTAGATTAACATTAGGAGATAAATAGCGGTGCTTAATCGTTTACCTGTGTTCGACCCTTAACTTGCCTCTACACTCGTTTAGTTGCATGTTTAGGACTACAAATATCATTTGATAGAGGTGTCTTAGTAACGACCTACAATACCGCCTGTTAAATTGGCGCCGTTGCCGGGGAGACGGTTTCCATTGTGTGTTTATTTTCTTGTTGAGACTAGTTCTTTTCCGTTCGTTTGTTATTCCGTATCTTGTCAGTGCTCACCTTCTGCTTAGCTTTGTATATGCATAGGAGGCTTAATTGCTCTAAGCCTTTGATGTCCATAGACCTCGAGCTAGAGCGTACTCTGGCCCAATTGAGGAGACAAGCAAGGGAGAGAGGTGAAAACCCACTTCAAGAGGAAGTGAGAAGTTCCCCTACCCTATCTTCACCCAATTCAAGTGAGGATGGTGAACCATCCACAGGCTCAATTCCCAACCCATTTGCCAATAACCACAATCAACAAAGCATGGCTGATCAAGGAAACATGGGTGATCAAAGGTCACTAAAGCAACTTGGAGCACCCGAACCATATGCCTCTCAAAGTGGGATCTTAGCCCCCACCACTCAAGCAAAAAATTTCGAGATAAAGCCTAATTTCATTTCAATGATAGAGAAGAGGCAATTTACCGGTGGGAAATTTGAGAATCCCCATGAGCATCTCAAAGAGTTTCTCAAGTATTGTGACACTATCAAGATCAACGGAGTCTCCCAAGAGTACATAAGATTGAAGATGTTCCTGTTCTCACTCATGGGAGCGGCGGAACATTGGTTGAACAAGGATGTTCCCCCCGGTTCCCTCACAACTCGGAATGAGGTAACTACGGCGTTCCTAAGAAGGTTTTACAATCACAAGAAAACCGCCGAGGCTCGCTCAAAGATTCAAAGTTTCCGCCAAAGAGGTGGAGAGTCTCTTTGTGAGGCATGGGAGAGATTCAAAGAGTTACAAAGACAATGCCCACACCATGGGATTCCTAATTGGCAAGTTCTCCAAACATCCTATGGAGGACTGTCCCCTCAAAGCAAGACTAGCCTTGATGCCGGAGCCGGAGGCCCAATCATGAACAAAAGGGAAGATGAAGTGGAGAGTATCATAGAAGATGTTGTGCGCAATTATGAGGATTGGTACGAAGGTGAGAGGGAAGCCACTTCTAGCAAAGGAACGGTACAATCCGTTGAGCAAACCAATGACATCACAAATCTTTCCAACCAAATGGCAAAGATGGCGAAACAAATGGAGGAGTTCATGAAATCAAGTTCTCAAAATACTTCCTCCCCTTCTCCCAAGGGAGGCCATGGTATGAATCCTTCTACTTCTTCTCCCTCTAATTACAATGCTATGCCTCCCGGTTGTATGTTTTGTGATATATGTGGAAACTATGATCATAATTCTCAACAATGCATGTCCATTAATGAATATCAAAACCCTTCCTAAGAAAATGATGATAATGTTGAACATGTGAATGCTATGAATTTTGCTCCCCAAATGGGAAATTTGGGAATGAGGCCCAACATGAACCGTGGTTGGAATCAAATTTGGAACCAAGGAGGTGGTGGTTTTTATAACCTAAACCATGTTAGGGGAGGCCCTTCCAACTTCAATGGAAGAGGATACCCTAACCAAAGAGGTTTTGGAAGCCAAAACCAACACCACCACCCCAATCACTATGACAATCAAAACCAAGGTTTTGGTGGCCAAAGTAACATGGGGTACAATCAACAAAAATACAACTCCAACCATGGCGCCGGGGGATATAGACCTCAAAATGCTTCTACTTTCTCACAAAATAGTAGACCCCCCGGTTTTGACCAAGTAAGGCCCCATTCTCAAATTCCCCTACTCAACCCCTCCAAATAGAAGCCCCTCCGGATTCTATGATGACTATGCTTCAAAATTTCATTAAAAATCAAGAAAACCATAATAAGAGTCAAGAGGAAGAAAAGAAACAAATCAAGGCACACATGAAAATGCTTGAGACCCAAATCTCTCAAATTGCCCAACCAAGTTCTTCATCCTCCCCTTTCTTCCTCTTCTTCTTTACCTAGCCAAGGTGTCAACCCCAAACCTATGTATGCCATTACTAATAGAAGTGGGAAGATCCTTGAGAGTGATTTAAATGTTGAGAAGAGTTCCGATGTAGGGATAGGACTTGAGGTTGAGGATGAGTCATCAAGAGAGAGTGAGATCCTAGAAGGAAGTGCCAAAGAGAATGAGAGGGGTGAGAAAGAGAAAGAGAAGGAACCCAAAAAGGAGAGCACCAAAGATAAAACACCTTTACCCCTTAATCTCCAACCTAGGAATGAGAGGTTGCCTTTTCCCCAAAGATTTGCTAGGTCTAGGCTTGATGTCCAATTCGGAAATTTTTGGATGTAGTAAAGAGCCTGCATGTTTCTATACCCTTTGTGGATGCTAAGAAAGAGATTCCTCACTACTCTAAATTCCTAAAATACCTTTTGAATGGAAGGAGAGAAGTTGAAACCGTTAGCCTAACCGCAAATTGTAGTGCTATTCTCTCTAGTAAGCTACCAACCAAATTGCAAGATCCCGATAGTTTTTCCATCCCTTGTTCTATCAATGAGGTTCATTTGGGGAAGGCTTTGTGTGATCTAGGTTCTAGTGTGAGCTTAATTCCCTTCTCGTTCTACCAAAAGCTTAATGTGGGAAGCCTTTCACCTACAAATATCACCCTCCAACTAGCGGATAGGTCCACAAAATTGCCTATAGGGAAAGTATAGGACATGCCCCTTAGAGTTGGTAAGTTCACTTTTTCGGTGGACTTTTATGTTCTTGAGATGGATGAAGATGAAAGAATTCCTATAATTTTGGGTAGGCCATTCCTAGCTACTTTTAAAGCAATAATTGATGTCAAAGAAGGTAAGATGACCTTGAAGGTTGACAATGATTCTATCGAATTTGATTTGAATAAGGTAATGAGACAACCTTCCTCTAGTAATAAATGCTTTAGAATAGATACAATTGAAAATTTGATGAATGAGTTTAGATACCCTCATATGCATGCTTCTAATGATCTACTTGAGAATGTTTTGTTGAATGAGAAAGAAGTAGGTGATCAAAAGGAGATGCAATTATATGAGGAAATGCTTGATGAGAAAGAGGAGACAACCACCGACCAAGAGATGCTCCAAATATATAAAGTATTCCAAGTAGAAGAGGAGGAGATCTCCAATGGTAAGGGAGCTCCGAAGGTAGAATTGAAACCTCTACCTTCGGGCTTGAGGTATGTCTTTTTGGATGCTAATGAGACTTCCCCGGTCATTGTCAATGCTAACCTCACGGAAGAGCAAACCTCCTCATTGCTTAATGTTTTGAAAAAGCATAGGAAGGATTTGGGTTATACTCTTGATGATCTCAAGGGTATAAGCCCCTCCCCATGCATGCATAAAATCGATTTAGAGGAGGGTGCTAAGCCGTGTAGGCAACGGCAAAGGAAACTTAATCCTTCCATGCAAGAGGTTGTGAGGAAGGAAGTTTCCAAGCTACTTGAAGCGGGGATCATCTATCCAATCGCTCATAGTGATTGGGTGTCCCCGGTTCAAGTAGTGCCGAAAAAGGGAGGTATGACGGTAATGGTCAATGATAAGCAACAATTGGTCCCAACTCGGCTTGTTACGGGTTAGCATTTGTGTATTGATTACCGCCAATTGAATGCCAATACTTCCAAAGACCATTTTCCATTACCGTTTATCGACCAAATTCTTGAGAGGCTTACAAAGAATGCTTTTTATTTCTTTCTTGATGGTTATTCGAGATTCTTCCAAATCCCAATTGACCCATCAAGAAAAGACCACTTTCACTTGTCCCTACGGTACTTTTGCTTACCGTAGGATGCCTTTTGGTCTTTGTAATGCCCCGGCTACCTTCCAAAGATGCATGATGTCAATTTTTAGTGACATGATCGAGGAAGAAATGGAAGTTTTAATGGATGACTTTTCCGTTGGTGGAGGCACATATGAGAAGTGCCTAATGAATTTATCTCGTTGTTTAGAAAGGTGTGAGAGTACCAACTTGGTGCTCAATTGGGAGAAATGCCACTTCATGGTGGAAAATGGCATTGTTCTTGGCCATAAAATCTCCCAAGCGGGCATCGAAGTTAATGGTGCGAAGGTTGATGTGATTGAGAAGCTTCCTCTTCCCACAAATGTGAGAGAAGTGAGGTCTTTCCTTGGTCATGCAGGCTTTTACCGCCGTTTCATCAAAGATTTCTCTCTGATTGCTAAGCCTCTCACATCTCTCTTGCAACAGGATAAAGAATTTGTATTTGATAAAGCTTGTCATGAGTCATTTTGTAGGTTGAAAAAGGCTCTATCCACCGCCCCCATAGTCCAAGGACTGGATTGGTCTATACCATTCGAGATAATGTTTGATGCAAGCGACGAGGCCATTGGATCGATTCTAGGACAAAGAAAGGATGGGAAACTTCACGTTATATACTATTTGTCCAAGACTCTCAATGATGCTCAACGGAATTATACAACTACCGAAAAAGAGTTCTTGGCGGTTATTCACTCATTTGAGAAGTTTAGAACCTACCTCATTGGTTCTAGGACAATAGTGTATACCGATCACTTGGCTCTCAAATATTTGATAAGCAAGAAGGAGGCCAAACCGAGGTTGTTGAGATGGGTCTTGGTCCTTCAAGACTTTGATTACGAAATGAGAGATAAGAAGGGAGCCGAGAACGTGGTGGCGGACCACCTTTCTAGGTTGGGAGGTGCAAGAATACATGAAGAAGGTTTGCCAATTGAAGATGCCCTAATGATGTCTTATATGCTCTTGAGGCAAAATTGGAGCCTTGGTATGCGGATATTGTGAACTACTTGGCTTGTAGTGCCATACCTCCGGATTTCACTCCTCAACAACATCGAAGGCTCAAGCATGAAGCAAAGAAGTATATATGGGATGACCCCATGTTGAAGAGAGGGGTGGATGGACTTTTGAGAAGATGTGTTCCTAATGAAGAGTTCCAAGATGTGCTCTCAATGTGCCACTCATCCCCTTGTGGTGGTCATATGAGTGCTCAAAAGGCCGCTTCCAAGGTTTTGCAATGCATGCTCTTTTGGCCCTCTCTATTCAAAGATGCTTGACAATTTGTTAAGACTTGTGATAGGTGCCAAAGGAAGGGGAACATATCAAGGCGCGATGAGATGCCCCAAAATCCGATACTTGAGCTGAAAATTTTTGATGTTTGGGAAATTGACTTCATAGGCCCTTTCATCTCATTCCAAGGAAACCGGCACATTCTAGTTGCCGTTGATTATGTTTCCAAGTGGGCGGAAGCCGTGGCATCTCCCACCAACGACTCAAAGGTGGTCATCAACTTGCTTAAGAAGGTCATCTTCCCAGGATTTGGTGTCCCGAAGGCAATTATAAGTGACGGAGGTTCACACTTCAAGCACCATGCATTCAACAAGCTCCTCTCAAAATATGGTGTTTCGCACTAGCGTGGTCTTGCTTACCACCCTCAAACAAGTGGTCAAGCGGAGATCACAAATAGGGAGTTAAAGATCATCTTGGAAAAGATCGTGGCTAGAACAAGGAAGGATTGGTCTAGTAAGCTCATTGATTCATCGTGGGCATATAGGACCGCCTTCAAGACTCCGATTGGGACAACCCCCTACAAACTTGTGTATGGGAAGAATTGCCATCTCCTGGTGGAAATGGAGCACAAGGCGCATTGGGTCATAAAGCAAATTAATTTTGACCTCCATGTCGCGGGTGAGCAAAGGATGCTAGATCTCCATGAGTTGGAAGAGCTTCGAATGAACGCCTATGATAGTGCAAGCCTCTACAAAGCAAGAACCAAGGCATGGCATGACGCTCAAATTTCCAAGAAGGAGTTTGTGGAAGGACAAAAGGTCCTGCTTTTTAATTTAAGACTCAAGCTTTATCCCGGAAAATTGAGGTCTAGATGGAGCGGGCCATTCGAAATGTCCAAAGTCCTTCCATATGGCTCAATCGAGATATTCAATGACAAGTACCCTCCATTCAAAGTGAATGGGCACCGTCTTAAGCCATACTACGAAGGTCAACTAATTGAGATGCCGGAAAATTTGTCACTCATTGACGTTTTCAAGTCATCATGATTCTTTTGTGAAGGGCGTCAAGCTACTGACGTTAAAGAAGCGCTTACGGGAGGCAACCCGGTTTCTAACTTTTTATTTATTTATTATTATTTCCTTTGTCACACTTGAACTAATCCATCTAACACTTTTCTTAATCAATTGTGATGTAGGTGTGATTTTGTGTGTCCATGGGGAAAGAGAGATAAGAGTTGAAGCAAAATGAGAAATTTTAAGAATTTGTGGTCAAATGAAGACCAAAGACAGAGAGCCAGCGCGATTTGGTCGTGACAGAAGAGCGATCCGCGAGAACAGAGTGACGCGGGCGCGCCTCTATTTGCCGCGGGCGCTCCACTTCTTGGGTCATAAATTGCTCCCATTCCAGAAAGTAGGAGCGATTTTATCACGCCTAAGGAGCGGCTCACGTCATTAAAGGAGCGCGGGTGCGCTTGATTTTGTCGCGGGCGCGCTAGCTGTTTAGTCTAAAAGGTCTCCCAATTCCAAAGAGTAGGAGCGATTTTGTCGCGCTTAATGAGCGACCCGCGATATCGAAGAGGCGCGGGCGCGCGTGATAGGGGCGCGGGAGCGTTAATACTTTGGTCTAAATTCTAGGGAGTTGGAGCGATTTTGTCGCAATTCAAGAGCAGTCCGCGTCTTCACTTAGGCGCGGGCGCGCTAGTATTTGTAGCGGTCCGCGTCTGGCTCGGGCGCGCCTATTTCGGGAGCAGGCGCGCCCTTTTGGATTTTAAAAAAAAAATACGGCTTGGCTTCGTCTCTTAATTCCTCACAAACTCCCTCAACCCTCACAAACATAGCCTACCTCCCTCATCACCTTTCTCTCTCTAACCCCGCGGCCGCTCCTCACCACCCATTCTCAAGATCCGTTCATCATCTCTTTTACCATCCTCATAAATCATTCATCGTCATCAAAGCTTCAATCATTCATCATCATCACCGTTCGTTCATCACCGAAAAGCAAATAGGCATCATCAATACCAACCACAACGAACGTTTTTGCTACTCAAAATCTTCAACAATTCGACACCAAAACAGCAATTTATTCGCATAAAGGTAAAGGTATTCAAATTCCTTCATTAGTTATTCGCTTTTGATTAATTTTAAAGCAAGGATTTTGGTTATCTTAGGTTATTATCGAGATTTTGTTGATTATTGTTGAAAATATTGTTGGATTCTGTTGAAATTGTTGTTGGATATATTCGTTGTGTTTGTTGGATTATTATTGCTTGTAAACAGGTACATTGTGGTTTTGTGGAGGTTAAGGGTGGAAATAGCGAGGATTTGGCTTTGAAAAAGGAGTGAAAAAGTGGGTAGTAATGAGTCCAAGGATTGGGAAAAAGAGAAAAACCGCAAAGTCGGGACAATCGTCCCAAAACCCAGAGTCAGACCAACCCAATACCTTACCCCCCTTAAAGTTCTTAAACAAAAGCCACTCCTCCATATACTCTGACATGAAAAAAAGAAAGTTGCGACCTTCTAGGAACTACCATCGTGGAGACATGATAAAACTTGGAATAAATGACGACTTGTGGATTCTTTTTGAAAACCTTCGACTAGGGTCATTCGTAAACTCTTCATTCATGACCTACCAAGAACCCACCTTAGAGTTTTTCTCGTCTTTCCAAGTTGATACACTAAAAGATAACGACTTTCAGATATCTTTCCAACTCTTTAACAACCAACACACCATGTCAATAGCAAAGTTTAACCAAGCCCTGGACTTTCACTCAGATGCTGACCTCCTCTACCCGCTTTATGAGAACTTTAGGGAGTATAGTGAGTACGCTTGGTGGCGTTCCATTTCAGGTAAAAATGAGTTTCATACCAGGACTTCCATAGCCAGTGAGATTTGGCACCCTTCCCTTAGGATCCTACACCGTTTATTAGGGTATTCTACCATTAGTAAACAGGACCTAGGAAAACTGACTAAGGAAGAGGTCTTTTGCCTGTGGATAGCCACAAAGGGAGAGCATGCACGGAGGTTGAATTTGGGATTCCTCTTTATGCAAACTTGCCAAGCATAGAAAAGGGAAAAAAGCCAGGGGAGATACATTGTGGGGCGATGGTCACTAGATTGGCCACCAAGTTAGGTTTTACACTGACCTTCTACCTCTATGCACGACCGTAGGTAGTAGTGGGGATATTTACCTTGACTTGGACCAGCTTCGCCGCTCTGATTTTATTACTCCCACGGCAAACCCCAATGATTTTAGGTGGCTAGTTAGAGGAGCCCACCATTGTTTCCTCCCTAAGCCTCACTTCACCTCCCTCACGCGTCAATCCTCTAATGTGTGGAGAGTTTTGAGAGATAGTGGGCGAGTGCCCGATGTTGATGGGGACGATGAGGTAGGGGTAGGTAATGAGGAGGAGGTTCAGGAGCAGCACCAGCAGCCGGTTACCCAGCAACCCAAAGGTACAGGTACATTTCAGCTATCTGATATAGCTAGATAGTTGCAAGTGATTTATGAGTCACATCAAGGCCACCATCTGCAGCAGCAGGCCCTCTATGACTATCCCCCCATGAATTACCCCAATTGGCCGCCTCAGCACGACCCTGTTCCTTCTTGGGGAAGGGGGGACAATCTCCCCACTTACCCCTACTGGCAAGGTCCTTCCGAGCTCGGTAGGGAGCTCCGCAGCTTCCCAGAGGACGAGCAGTACGATTATTGTGTGCCTGGCGGGTGTGACTTTAAAGGGGACCTTGCTTACCCCTATGTGCATCCAGATCACCCCGCCCCTCTGTATTCCCAGTCTGAGGATGTCCCCCTGACGAGCGCTAAATCGGTCGCACAATTTAGGCTCATTCAAACACATTTATAACAAACACCTCACTCAAACAAGTACAATGGCAAGCAAAGGTTCGGTCCACGGAGAACGGGAATCAAATGCTAAATAATCTTAATGCTCAAGCTAAATCGAAATCAAGGTATAAGGGGTGAATAACTAACAAACTACAACTAAAGGTTGAATTCAAGGGATTAAAACACTAGGGGAATGGGATTCACTCAACCAATAGCAATTAGGCAAATACGGAGGAATGAGGGTAATGGAATAGCAAAGACCACATGTAAGATCAACATCAAACGATATGAAAACAACTCAGATTACTAAGCTTAGATCCCTCATTGACTTAGCAACAAAAGATACATAATCATATTGCAATAGGTAATGAAACATTCAACTCACATTTCCATGTCGAACCAAACATTTCATGCCATCAAGTTCAATAATCTAGGTTAATTACTCCTATCATGAAGAACTAACAAGCAATCCCATATAATCAAGTTTAGTCGCAATCCATCATCAAAATCACTCCCAAACTCACATAATCACCAATAGGTTGAGTTTCACCCAACCCCTAGCCAAGAGGACTACTCACAATTCATTGTGAGTACATGCAAATTCCAAGTTTGGATTATAAGAGATTCTAAGATTTGGAAAAACAAGTGATTATCTATGGACAAAGCTAACATGCAACAACAATATATCAAGATTGAGAGAAAATCAAGTGGCTTACAAAACAAAAAATAAAATCAGAAAATAATGAAGGACAAATGAAAGAAGTTACTATTGAAGCTTCAAAAATGTTGGATAATTGCTGAAATTCTTGAGATAAATCTTGAAATTTGCTTCTACAATGATTAGATTTGAGAGTTTCTAAAACTAAATCAACTAATTTAATGAAGTTGCTAACTAAGAGAGAGTATCTTTTTTGCTGAAAACTATTCTACTGTTTTTCTTCTCTCCCCCCCGAAAAACGATCTCAAAAGGACCTTAAATAGTCCGTACAAAATTGGCTGAGATCGGGAAAAGGTCCGACCGAACTCTGGGTAGGTTCGGTCGGACTCAGGGTAGGTTCGGTCGAACTCTGTGTAGGTTCGGTCGAACCTCCCTAATCCTTGTTTGGTCGAACTTTTGAGGTTCGACCTCCTCTCCAAAATTGCTGAAAACTGGTTTGACACTGCCTTCACTGCACCCAGGAGGTTCGGTCAAACTTTTCAAAAGTTTGACCACACATAGGTTCGACCGGACCTTTCAGAGGTTCGGCCACACCTCCTCTTGCACTTCCTTTTCTTGCTTCCTCTCCTTCCCTTTTGCTCCTCTTGCCTTTGTCCATGGCTTCCATACTTGGCCACGGGGCCTCCCACGTGCATAGGACCGTCATGGAACCTGCAGAAGATACCAAAGTTCACGAGAGCATGGGGATGATAAAATAATGCATAAAGATTATTAAAATAAGCGCAAATAAGCATTACTTTTCATCAATACATAAAGAAGCCATAAGAGGATAAATGAAGTGGAAAAAACTAAGAAAAGTAAGAGGAAAAAGACCTAAATGCTACCCCTAAGAGTGACATAAATGTCACTCATCAAACTCCCCCACGCTAAGCCTTTGCTCGCCCTCGAGCAAAGCAAAGGAAAATGAACAAGGGAGAAAGAATTAGTTATTCAAACATGCAAGGAACAAAAGAAAAACCGAAATTGCTTTTAGCAAAAGCAACAAGCCATTTAAACCCCAAGGTCGCCGATGAGGATGAGTTGTGATCTCGTGAGGGTTTCCAAAGAGCATACCCCACAACTCTTACAAAATTGTGTTCAAGACAAACCAAAAACAAGGGAAAGAGAAACAACAAATCCAACACAAATCATAGCCAAGTCGAGCTTTTGGAGATAATAAACATGAATGAGTGTCAAACTTTCTGAGTAGTAGAAATGAGCATGCAAGGGGATGCCGAAAGTTGATTGAAGGATAAGTCATTCTAAGCATAGAGAACTCAAACATGCACCACTCCCCCCGCATTCCAAACAATCTTACCGTGTTCCCTCATCTAGATTCAAATCCGCCCTTGGAGATAGCATTAAGTGACTCCTCGAAGGAGCCGGAACAAAGATAAAACACTGCAAAATAGTGGAACCCGACATCTCACCAAGTCATGCCTTCTCCATATGCTTGAGTTCCAGCTCCCTCCACCGACTAGTGACTCAACCAACCTAGGTCAACAGGG